ACTGTTCAGAATAAAGCTATCACGATTATTATTATTATTAGCAGGTGAACGTGTCACCAGTCAATTAGGTAATTGAAATCTCACTTTGGACGAAGCACCAAAATAATTGATTATGGTTGTTATTCATCAAAAGTGATTAGTAATTGTGTGTGTTCACTTTTCATGTACCCATGATCGATATGTTGTGTATAAATAAATTATTGAATTTCGTGTTATTGGATTACAAGAAAGATCAATTTTATTTGACACTATGAATGCAAATTAGGTTAATCTGTACTTAAAATAAATTCTCACTGAATACAAACCTGATTCTAGAACCCATAACTAAGATTATTTATCAGGTTAAAAACCTCACAATCAATATGATACTACTGAGAAAAAATCTTGTTGACCGGTCACTTGTTCAGTCTCATTATTATTATTATTATTATTATTATTTGTTCCAGATTATATCTAAACAGTCGGCTAATTTTGGATATATGCGTCTAATGTCCGGTTCATATTTGTACAAACTGACTGACTGCTCTACATTTTCGGTGATATGTCTATTTTCAAGAATTAGCTTTTAAAGATTCTACTTGTTCCAGGTTATACCACGGATTGATATCAGTTAGAGAACCGCTGGAAAACCAAGATGGAGTACTGGACAGCTGTTTCATTCTAGTTTGGGACTCGTCGGCAACACAAACTCACTGGGGTTCGAACCCATGAACCTTCAGATTACAAGTGCCAGTTTACGCGTTCTTCGGCGTAGACGTGATATCTGGCTATCGACCAAAGGGCAGGTGTACTACTCAGCCGCAGTTCGCTCCGTCCTCTTTTATGGTTAGCTGTGAGACATGACCAATGAAAGTGGATGACATGAAAAGGCCGGGTAGCTGTCTTTGATCATAGATTTCTGCGTTCTATCTCCCATGTTAGGTGGTATAATAGAGTGAGCAATATTGGGGTTAGGCGTCGATTGCCAGGTAAGTGGGATGGGAAATCAATCAACGAGGTTGTGAAGCAGTTATACCGACTGTGATGGTTAGGACATGTGTTACGCATGCATCCCTAGCCATCGCCGCACTCAACGGAAAATGTTAGCTGACTGACAAAGGATGGATCAGGTTGGAAAAGAGTCAGTTAGTGGTGGTCAAACCGAAGTATGGTTTCATCAGTCAATGAAATCCACAACAGTTAGTTTAATCCAGTCACGTAGGAAGGTGTAGACTTCCTGACTGGTTGGGGTCCTCGGGACGGTAAACACCAATGAAGGCTGGAAACAAAATCATTGTCAATGGTTGGTGCAGATGCATCCACTCCTTGTGACTTATAATATTCAATAAAACCATATTGTTCTTCGATATCACTATTCTTTTTGACTTATATCTCTGTTTACCGTCTCTATTTTGCATTCCCTTTTATTTTCTTCTCTTGCTTTGTGTACTACGTGGAGATGTGGTGGCTTGAACTGCTGCATATCGGTGCAAAGTTCTATGTCGAAAACAGACAGACAGATTACAAATCAAGCTCGTATAGCATTCAGTCAGTGGGACCTGATTCAATGGCCAGCCCATGAATTCTAACTTCTACCAATTCGTGATTTCAATTTTCACTACTAATGAGTTCCAAACTAGCATGAAACAATTGTCCAGTAGTCCATGCTGGTTTTCAATGTTTCTCTAACTGATATCAATCCGTGGTCTCACCTGATATGTCTATTTAACGATCAACTATGACCTTATAGAATATCAATTAATCCGTTAGACTTTGTTTTCTACGTAGAAATGACGACAAAATAATTTAACTGTTTATGACACGTACACATACTAATAAAAGTCACAATTATTTCTACTGACAAACAGAAACATGTATTTCTCTATTATCGATAAGATTTTATTTTGATAAATCACACAGTGTTTGTTATACAGTAATATTAACTGATGACGTTTCGAGCACAAACTATTGCTCATAATCATGTCAAGTTACTCACACAATTTTTCAATTCCATACATATATATAAATGAAGGAAAAGGTTGTGTGACTAACTTGATATGATTATGAGCAATAATTTGTGCTCGAAACGTCATCAATTAATATAACTGTACAACACTGTGTGATTTATCAAAATAAAATCTTATCCATAATGGAGTTACACTCTACCACAGTGCCCAAGTTTTATACTTATGTCAAATATGTATTTCTTCATGAACTGAGCCATCGGAAAACCAGCACTGGAGTACTCGACAGACGTTTCATTCTAGTTCGAGACTCTTCATCAGTACACACCCACAGCTGAGGTTCCAGCCCAGGACCTTCCGGTCACAAGCAACCAAGCAAGCTAGTAGACCATTTAGCCACTGGGACTAGATCTAATGGTAAGTTCATGAATTCCAACTTCTGCCTATTCACGATATAGAGTGACCACTAGCTAATGCCATTAAAGGAGAGTATTTGTCCTAACTCCGTACTGGATGGACCACACTAGTCACGAATTCCTACCTAAAACCAGGTAATTACCTGCAAAAATAGGGCCAATCAGTCACTAGTAAGCGTCAGCTTGATTTTCAACTGTTGGTTTGAAGGGAGTTAGTTTGATTGGTTCCAGGATTTCACCATGAACTGACATCTGTTAGAGGTCTATTGGAAGACCTGGAAGTACTGGAGAGCAGTTAGTCCTAGTTTGAGACTCTTTACAGTGACTTAATGGTCTAAAAGCTCACCTTGTAACCAAAAAAGTCCTGGGTTAGAAACATGAAGGTGGTTGCGCACTGCAGAATAGTCCCAAACTAGGACTAGACAGCTAGCTGTTCAGTTCTTCCAGTTTCTCCAATGGGCCTCTAACAGATGTCAGTTCATGATGCAATCCTGGAACCGCTCAAATCCCTGCACATCAACACTTGAATATGAATATGTGAATATGAGATTTGTGCTTTTCTAAGTCTTGTGTTTAATTACGCTTTCCGATTTGTCAGAAACCAGTTGTCAGACTGATAAGTGAAGCATTATATTACCTAATATGTATCCTATTCATTTTGTCAATTAAAACGCCGTGCACACAGGAATAAATAGAACATTTTCAAGAATCAGTTTTTGCAGAGATTTGATTTGTTATTTAAGTTTTATCACGGACTAATATTAGCTGGAGAGAGAGTCCTGGACAACTGTTTCGACCTAGCTTTGTACTCACCGAGAATAGGAACCCATTGGAGTTGGGACCCCGAGACCTTTCAGTTACACGGCAATCTCGTAGACCATGCAGATACCGGTCCCAAATTTAATGGCTACCTGATGAATTCTAACTTCTACCAATTCTTGGTTTTCCCCTGACCATCAGTCATTGTTATCCGTGCCGAGTATTCGTCCTCACTGCCGACCTGATTGACCCTACTGGTCACGACTTCTCAATAGGGCTCTAGGCCACTTCGTCCTATGGCCAGTAATTAACTAAATTCACATTAATTTTCAACGGTTAGTTGGCAGGGATTTGATTAGTTCCAAGTTTGACCACTGAAGAGTCACAAACTAGGACGAAACAGCTGTCCAGTATTCCGTTCTGGTTTTCAATGGCTGTCTAACTGTTATTAATCAGGCGTCAAATTTGAAATAAACAGAATAATCAGAGGAAAAGCACTGTCAACAGATAGATAATCCAAAGCGAAGCAGAACAGCAGCTACATTTTTCAAAGTAAATGGTCGCTTCTCTGATATAAAGCTCAAGTCAGTGAACGTTTGGATGTTGTGTTGAACATGTTAATCAGCATGACATTATAATTATGTTAAAGAAACGTTCTACCAAATTTGTTTTCAGATGAACCGTTCCAGTCCATGAATTCTTACTGTAAGACAATAGTAAATCTTGTCTGTGCCTTAGTGAACTCCAGATACACGTGAGTCATGAACACAGAGGACCATCCTCAGTCAGTCTGGTGGACACATTAGTTGAAATGAGTAGCCGGAAACATCTGGAATTCATCGCTGAATAATGAAAACCCGATTTCAAGTTCATTTGTATTGGAAAGAACAAACAATTTCAACTTTTACTAAACTGTGTATCAGATTTATATCCCTTACTACAGATCTAAATCATCTTTCACAACTTTTAGCATAAAAATTCGAAAAAAGAGACTAATTAAATAACGGATTAACGGTGAAATGTTTCTAGTGAAAATAAGCATATTTGGAGACTTTTTCACGAACCATCATCAACTAGAGATAATTGAAAACTAGGGAGCATGGGCAGCTGTTTCACTCCAGTTTGGAGCTCTTCAGCGGTGCACACTCACAAAGACACCAGAGATCGAACCCGGGGCCTTCAGATTACGAAACTAAGCAAGGCAGCCATTCATTACTGTGAAATCTACTGTAGTCAGAATGAGGGGCAAGATTCAGACTTTCAACACTGTAGACGTTCATTAACAGCTGCCTTTATTCCATACTGAAGTTCAGTTAGCCTGCCAGAGAACCAATGAGGAACTCTGACAACGAAGAAATCATCCAAGAACTGTGGCGCAACAAATAGGTGGAAGGAAATAGAGATGGATTGGTGGAGATACACTAAGAAGACTGTTGAGTGACATTAAATGTCACGCTGTCGAGAAAGAGCAACGATGGGTGTCGACCCGAGGATGATATGGAGGAGATCGTTTGAAGAGTAAACGAAGGTGTATAGTCAGTTGGGCAGCCTGATAAAATAAACTTCACAGAACAAAGCGAAGACGCCATATGATTCTTAAGCCCTATTTATCTCTCTGAATCCAAAAGAATAATAAAAAATAATATATCAGGTTATCGATTTTCCGTGTATAAGGCATTGATAGATCGATAAAGAAAGGCCATATTCATCTGGCTTGTATGCATGGATGGTTTCAGTGAGAAAAACAGTTCAACACAGCACAATACAATAGGACAGTGTGGTAATAGGATAAACCAATGATTATTAGTGGTCTCATTCTATAAAATGAATAATATAAAAATAAATTGGGCAAATTAAAATTTATATGTACAAGGCAACTCACTATGTCTTTATACGAATTGGACTGACAAGATCTATTTGGCTCGGAATATGGATTTCGGTCTGTACTTCTTCCATAATCACTATCATTATAACTGAATGAGTCCATAGTTCCGCACGATGGTTGTGATGGGCAAATAGGTGCACCTGGAATATACTGCCGTGCGCCTCCATAGTTTGAGTCTGTTTGCGGATATCCTTGAGCTGGATAACCTGCACCACTTGGATTATATCCATATTGAGGTCCATTACCAAATCCCATAGAACCAGAAGGTGGAAAGCCTGCAGGGTCAGGACCTGGATAACCTAGTGGTGCTCCTTGGCATGGTGCTGGTGGTGGAAATCCTTGACCCATTCCTCCTCCTCCTCCTCCTGGAAACCCTGGTCCACCTGCAGGATAGCATGGTCCTCCTCCTGGATATCCTGGTCCGCCTCCTGGATATCCTGGTCCACCACCTGGGAAACCTGGACCTCCTGGATAATATGAGTTAGTGTTTGACATAGGATTGTTAGCATCATTCAAATTCCATGCTGACAAATCTTCATAATTTGGATTCATCTTTGTTTTATTCCGCTGAGTAAAAACTAATATTTAGCAGGTATAGTATATAAATACAGCGTTATTGTTTATACCACTGAATTTTATAAATGTAAACGAAGGTCACATGTACGCTGGTATTTGATTGGTCAGTGTGGCTTGAATGCGTAGGTGGATTTTGTATTGAATTGACAAATCATAGAACAAGAATTCAATCTGATTTATTATTGGTTACAGGAAGGAATTGTGTGTTTATTGATAAACTGATTTATTTAAACGATGTTTCCAGTGTGTCTTTCAAAGAGATCAATGCATTTATTGGACACTTATACAAATTAGGATATCTTAAATTAACGCAAATCTTAGTTCAAGACATAGACTATTAGCGTGCACAAATATTGCAGCAGAATGAATCAATTTCTGAAAGATATTGGATGTATTTACCTCAACTATATGGGTAATAATTAGGTTTTTCATCTTTGCTGTTGGCTAGAATTGATGTCACTCCTTGTTGGTGGAGTCCAGTGAAATCAGTCGAAAGTTACAATGGGACAATATTCGATCTTTATTAATTCATCGTTAATCTACCTTCACTATTCTTGCATTTCAGAATTCTTTCTACATTTAATTTTGTCTAACGTCAAAATAACTCAGCAAAGTTAATCTATCACACTGGACAGCTGTTTCGTCCTAGTTTGAGACTCTTCAATCAATCAAACAAAATCCCTACAAAATACCAATACTTGAAAAAACTTAATCTGATGCTCACTAGCGACTTGCCCTATTCAGGCAGTTAACCTAAAGTTCTAGTAAGAAGTCGTGACTAGTTAGGTACAGCAGGTTGAAGGTGAGGCAGTAGCTTATCAAAAAAGGCACTGCGAAGTAGTCGCGCTATGTCATGAATTGGGAGGAGTTAGAATTCATGGGGTGGCCATTGGATTGGATCCCAATGGCTGAAAGGTCTACGATCTCGCTAGACTTGCAACCAGAAGTTCCTGGGTTCGAGCCATGGTGGTGGATGCGTGCTGCTGAAGAGTCCGAAACTAGGTGGGACGAAAAAGCTGTGCAGTACTCCCTGACTGGTTTTCCAATGGTCCTCTAACTGATGTCAGCTCATGATGAAATCCTGAAACCAGTCAGACAAAATCCAAATAAAACCAATACTAGGAAATTAATCTATCATAGCCAAAAACCACGGTGACCTTGAACTACTAGGAAAGTAGCATAATCGTTGACAAATACACTAACAAATATTGTAAACTTGGTTTTACACCGTAGGATTGTAGCTTATGTGGTGTAAGATTGTCTCCCAGACACTACACAGATGATCTATACAGAAATCGTACTTTGCGCGATATATCCGTTCATCCCGGTGACTGAAGGTCATGGCTCTGCGAGATCCATTGATATTTCTGACCCTATTCTTCAATCTACTCTCACTGTAACCATCATCTTGACTCCTAACCCTAACTTTAACGCTAAACCTAACCTTAACTCTAGACTCTAAACCGTAATCTAAAAAGCCATCGCGCTACCTGATGGTATAGATTTTCAGAAAAAGTACCTAGAGAATAAGTAGAATACTTTATCTACCCTCTCTAAGTCCCCAAAGGTAGGCATGATTTGATTTGGCATGATCTTTCACAGCATTCGCTGTATCTGATTGGTTCTCGAAGGTCAGCTTTCGAAAGACCTTGGCTTTGATCATGATACTTTAAACTCGCCATGGCCCTATTTTGGAGGCAAAGCCGGAGGCGGTTAAGAGAGGCTTAGGCGACTGGCGTTGAATGTACTTTTACATTTTGATAATCAATATGTCAAAAACCATTAAGTTTTCAAAAGAGGTTAAATCCACCGCAAAAGATTTGACTATTCTGAACTGTTTGCTAAAAAGACAACCAGACGGTAAACTTAAAATAAACATCTTCAGAAAGCTGACACATTCGGACATCTCTTCATCACCGAAGTCACTGTGCCCAAGAATTTGATTAACAAAGCCAAACGTTTAGTTACTGAGGAGGAAGAGATTAGCAAGGAACTAAAATTGGTTCAATCCACTCTTGAATCAAATAATTATCCTAAAGCCTTCATACATAAAAAGATTTTTAAAATGTGAAGATAAGGATGGATCGAAACCTTTTGCTAAAAACTGGGTTAGTACAGCGGTGATTCCTTGTAGCAAAGAAACATCGGATGAGATAAAGCGAATCCTTAACAGGTATGACATAAGGGTGTATTTTCGTCCAACGAACACCTTACGCTCATCACAGGTGAGGATTAAGGATAAAATAGAAGAAGACAACCAAAAAAATTGTGTGTTCTAAATCAGCTGTGAGGATTGTGAGGAGCTTTCAGACAGGTAAATTTAAGAGTGAAGGAGCATAAACAATTTCTAAAGGTGGTTCCTAAGACCCCTGCAGATTTAGAAAAGCCAGAAAACAGATCAGCGAATGCGCTGCACGCGATAGAAACGAGACAAAATATTGACTTTGATGATGGGACCATGGTCTTACAGAAAGGCTTCGATCCGTATAAAAAGAGACTGACCGCAGAAGCCCTGCATATATGGGTGAATCCAAATAGCTGGAACGGACATGAAGGTATGATGTTAGCTGATGCATGGCAAATACTGATTACTAAATAAAAATCGATATGCATCATACTACATCTAAATTTCAGATTGTTTACAACTACTTATGCGAAGGCTAACAAATGATTCACAATTGTTGCTCACACACACGCATTCCATTGTACACCGCATGTACACAAATATTTTCATATTCAGTTATCTAGGATCATGAACTTTAGTCGAATGTAATCAGTACAAATCTGTTTACAATCTTTAATAAAAAGTAGACTAATATTTGTAAGTCTGTGGTCACATTTTGATCACAGTTCATGCAATTTTGATGGTCATTTATTTTGATTTAGAACAGCACATTTAAGCGAACAATATTGTTTTCAATTAGATCTCATCAGGCTTAACTCTAATATACCATTTCAACTGTTCCTGTGGTTCAAGTTATAAAGGGTGCACGATTAGGCAGGTTCGTCTACGGGTTCAAGAACATTTACCAGCTTGATTCAGCAGGGGGAAAATTAAGTACATAAAAAGCCCGATCCTGTCACACTTGGTCGATACTGGACATCATATCGATGTCAACACTGCTTTCAGGATTATATACCGAATTCCGAAGTCGTTATCACATACGGTTCACTAACGCTTCCTAGACATAGCTGAAGCTGTTGCAATAAAATTGACTAAACCGGAACTTTGTATCCAAAAAGAAAACTTCCAGACGCTCTTCCTACAGTGGCCAAACTTGGATTGATGATTCTTCTTCTCACCAAGAGTGCTCCTTCCCCTTAACCCTCTTGGCTCTTTTGTTTCCTTTGGTTATTATTACAAATATTATTATTACAATTATTATAATTAATAGTATCATTATTCGTCATAATTTATGCCCCTCATGCAAACATTCTCTCAATACTATCGAGTTTTCCATTTATACTATCCGGACTTATCATTAGTGACATTATCTCTTTCCTCAATATATGCCTCCACCTGTTTCATTTTACATATTCGTTATTTCATTATGAACCTATCACTGCAGTCTTACTATCTCCTCCTATTCAATACATACCACGTTGTACTAGCCACTCACTCACCTGAAACCTTTTATAACCTTGAACTGACTTGTCAATTTTTCCTGCCCCACATACTACGAATGAATCTATTATGACTAATCACCACCACTGTCTCCCATTTCACCGAAATATTTTGTAATCGATTTCAGACTAACACGTTTGTCACATAAATACGACTATTTATTTTGACACCCCATAACTAATCTGTTATTCTACGTTGGGAAATGTATCCGCCTCATAACTGGCCATTATTGTAACGACAACAAACATTACATATTTTATAATTGTAAGAACCTGAAGAGAAGGGTGTATTGAAAAGAATATTCTTCGTTCAGATTGACTTTTAATTCATAATATGGGAATATTCCACACTATTAAATCTTATAATGTACATAAGTTTACAAATAAAAATTCAAATATAAACCAATCATGGTATTTTGTCTATAGGATAATAATATAGTGATTATAAATTGTGCAAATAGTGTCATAATAGTAGTAATAATAATAATAATGATATTAATAATAATGGTCTTGTCAATAATGAGGATGAAATAGTGAGGCAGCCTGTGATAGGAAGACTAACGGAAAACAGCATGATTAAACAAACCAGTGTTCAGGTAGAAGTAGTCGATAAAGGCTAGGAAAAACAATAGACTTCGTATTCGTCTACTGCACACATACGGCTGAGGTGATAGGCATTCGAACTATTAAACCCAAACTATTTATTAAAAAACGTTCGTACAGCCACTATCCCTCCCTTGGCCTATTAAGACATAACCAACTGTTGACTTCTACACCACCCTTCACTTTTATTTTCAACCCCACTCTCTTATCATCCCTTAATCTTATCACATCTTCATTAAAAAGGAATTTCATTAACTTCCCTTACAATCTAGCATTACGTAGTCGGTTCATTTGGTTTTATTAGCCTTTATTATCGACTACCACGTCTACCTGAATATTTGTTTGTTTAATCATGCTGTTTTTCGTTATTCGTGTTATCACAGATTGCCTCACTTCTTCATCCTTATTGTTGATAAGACCATTATTATTAATATTATTAGTATCATTACTACTATTATGACTAATTTCACAATTTATATTCACCATCTTATTACCCTATAGATAAAACACCATGATTGATTTATATTTGAATTTTTATTTGTAAACTTGTATATATTAGAGTTAAGCCTGATGAGATCTAATTGAAAGCACAATACTGTTCTCTTAAATGTGTTGTTCTAAATTTTACTGTGGGAATATTTAATATTTATTTTGATGTCTGTTCATGACTCAAACATGATTGGACAAGGTTTTTAAAGACAAGAGATGTCGTATATACATTGATTTCCCACCGATGACATTGGCTGGTGGTCGCGCTAAATCACGAATTATTGGAAGTTAGAATTCATGGGATGGCCATTGAATCAGGTCCCAGTGGTT